CATAACACATGTATTACTTTCCCATCAAATAGGTAGGACTTCTGGCTATTTATGTTCTTTATGTTTCTTTGGACCATAAAGCTTGAATTCTCTCATTTTATGGAACCTAAGAGATCTTTCAATGAAAAGAATATTAACTCACTTCCTTTCAACTATGTCAGAAATATTGTTTTCTAATATGTTACCAGCAAATTTTAAAAGATTCTTGTAATATTGGTTGAGGCTGTATGTAGCTATACAACAGAAATACACACAAAAAGGAAAAAATATTAACTCTAACTCTAAACTAGGTATTAAATAATATGGTTTCCAGCATGAAACAAAATAATTCAGTTTAAGATTGTGAAAACAAACATTATTGAAAGACTTCACCTAGCCAAAACTACAGCAGGCTTTGCATTTACAATAGATCAATCAGCAATTAAAATAAAAAGGTCATAAACATTATTATTTTTTGTTTTATTTTATTTTATTTTATTTTATTTTGTTTTGTTTTATTGTCTCCATGTGCAAGAGAGACGAGAGAGAAACAGAGAGACACAGGGAGGGAAGGAGATGGAGGGGTGTAGAGAGAGACAGACAGCATCCCCACAGGGTCCTGATGCTGTGAAACACCCCTAGCATTCAGTTAGCCTCCAGTACTGAGCAAATTTATGTCCAGATACTCAGAGAGGTATCCGGAATTGAAATGGGAACTTTCTCGTGTGGGATTGCCCTACAGAGCAACTTGTTTCACCAGTACACACCATGTGGCCCATAAACTTAACTCTTTCGAGAACCCAGCCCCTAACACTGTTTGCTTTCACTCTGTAAACAGTTTTACAATTCTTTCAACTCACCTTACCTATTTCTATATGAAAATTGTTCTGTCCTTGGGGAAAAAACATTCAGAATCAAAACCATTATTCTGTAAGGTATTGATTTTTACTGAACCATCTATATGCTGCCATAGCTCTTTTACCTATTTTTAATCAGTTTCCCTTCCCATATATCTCAGAAGTAATTTCCAACTTTTTTTTAAACCTTCCTACATAGAAACCACCACTCCTACCTCTTTCTCTCAGCTGATTATCTCATCTCTAATTTGTGACAATTATTCTTTATGAATTTACCTATACTGACATCTTGTATCTTTAATTCTTTCCTTCTGATCTTAGAGGAAGAAATACTCTTTCCCCAAATCTAATGCAAGACTAACAGCTTAATTTATGCACAGTGAAGGAGATAAAGAAGGGGCAAGACTTGGGAACCAGCAGTTAGTGTAATGGCTATGTCGCTGGACTCCCACGTAGTCGACCACGGTTCATGTCCCGGACCCGGTGGCTTAAAACTCACGCTGGGCGCATGTGCGTGCCTGCCCAAGATCCCGAGAGGAGAATGGAGGAGAAGGGATTGTGGCGTGGCCATCCCCCCTGGGGGGTGATTTCTTGCTTTCTGTCTCTATGTCTCTCTCTCTCTGTCTGGCGAGTGCACACGCCCTATAGCAAAAATCTCTCGGGGGGGGAAAAAAAAAAAAAGAAAAAAAAAGAAAAAAAGAAGGGGCAAGACTCATTAGTTAATGCTCCTGCTCAAAGACTGCTCCATAATTTGTTTCCCATCTCTCTTGTACAGTCAATGGCTGATTCTCTTTTAGTTTCTGCCATTCAGCCAACAAATACATGCTAATGGCTTACATTCTTTAAAAAGAAAAAAATCATTTCATATTTTACCCTTTCTACTTACCAATTCCTCTCCCTATTCCCTTCCTAAGGAATAGTCAACCATTCTATTTCTTCACCTCCTGGTCATTCTGTAACTCCTTCTCCTAATGCTTTAAGGCTGTGCGGTGGGACCAGCAGTTAGCATAATGGCTATGTCACTGGACTCCCATGTAGTCGACCACAGTTCGAGTCCTGGACCCGGTGGCTTAAAACTCACGCTGGGCGCGTGTGCGTGCGGGCCCAGGATCCCGAGAGGAGAATGGAGGAGAAAGGACTGCGCCGTGGCCATCCCCCCTGGGGGGTGATTTCTCGCTTTCTATCTCTCTGTCTCTCTCTGTCTGGTGAACACACGCACCCTATAGCAAAAACCTCTCAAAAAAAAAAAAAAAAGACTGTGTGGTCATATGAAGTAACTGACAAAACTTAATACAGTGACACTGGACTATACTAATCAAGAAAGATGAGGGGTCAGCCAGTGGAGTGGTGAGTAAGACAGCAGGAACCCATAAGGTTGACTGCAGGGTTCTAGTCCCACATCTGGCAGGTTGAAAAACATGCCTGGTGTGTTTGCATGTGTGCCCAAAATCCAGAAAGGAGATGTGGAAGAGAAGGGGCTGCAATATCAGTCTCCCCTACTGGGGATGCTTCCTCTCTTTCTCCTTCCGTCTGTCTCTGTTCTCTCTCCAGCAAGGATACTAGTTCTCCAGCAAATTAAAAAAAAAAAAAAATGAAAATTTCGATTTTACATATATTACAATTTTGTCTATAACTATGTCCACTGATAGGAACTGGGACTGCAAGAGGGATCTGATTTGAGTTTCTCCTTGGTTCTGAGGGGAAGGAAATTATAAACTGTAAACAGAAAGCTTTTAAATATTTCACAGGTTGGGCGGGGGGATGCATACCTTTTCATTTTTTTTAAAAGGTGTTTTGTTTTGCCACAGGGCCTATGTGTGTCAGACAGTGAGAAATCACCCCCCAAGGGGAATGGCCACACTGCAATCCCTTCTCTTCCACTCTCCTCCTGGGATTTTGGGCACAAGCCCAGAGTGATTTTAAGCCACCAGGTCTGGGAATCAAACAGTGGTTGGCCATGTGGGAGTCCAGTGCCTCAACCACCAAGCCACCTGCTGGCCCAGGGTGCGTATCTTTTATTTATGTTTATAATGCTTAAAAAGTATCTTATATTTATGTGCTGATAAGGTGTTTAAAAGGAAGAAAAATTCCTTCTTGTGTTTTCATTAGATTCAAATCTAGAGTTCAAGGATTGTCTCTACCTAGCTGCTACTCCTGTAGGAGCCAACAATCAGTTCTATAATTATCTTTTATTTGCGTAAGCTACTACCTCAAGACACAAAATCTTTCTAAGTAAAAAGTCAAAGTACTCAGGTACTACATACTAAATTTAAGACTTTGACTAAAGTAACTTCTAACCTGTAAAATAGTTACAATACTCTACTTCACACCTAAATTGTGAGGATTAAACAGTCTATGTAAAATATTTAACACCGTTCTAGGCACATCTTAAATAATATCTTCCTGCACCTTGGCACAGTGCTACACTTCCAAATAGCATACAACTATTAAGGAATAAAAGTGTACTGAAAAGGAACAATATTAAAACTTTGTGAATTATGTGAAACAGAATTTGTGACAAGAGCACCTTCTGTTCATACTCACTAATAATAATCTTCAAATTAAAAGTGAAAGTTACTAGAAGATATTCAAATATATTATGGGAATTCAACTAGTAAATATACTTTGATAGATTGAATTTCCATTATTTTCTCTAAAAGTATACATGATTGCATATGACTTAATAAAATGAACAGAGATGGCAACCGTAAAGTTGCAGTTTCCAGGCTGAGAAAGACAAATCAAATTCATCCTTCACTCAGGAGGCTGTACAAAACTGTACATCTTAAATGAACAAAAATTTTCTTAGATATACTACAAAGTTAAGTAAATATATCAAATCAAAGAGATCTGGAATAGAGGTTTTTCTTTAAATACAAAACCAAATTGCAAAAATATGCATGATCAAAATGAATCTTTTCCAAATATTTATGGGGGAAAACCATTTTAATTTTAAAAATTGATGAAAAGTAGCTATATTTAGTAAAATTCAGCATCTCAGCTGCTAATTCTGCAAAAATATTCTGGGAAGGTTAAGAGGGCAATCTTCCGAAAACAACTGCCAGAAAACATCATGCATATCTAACACTATAAATGTCAGTTACATTGTTCTAGCCCACTTTCAAGTCAAAAGGAAGTATTTAAAATGTTAAAAATAAATCATACTCTACTTCTGGCCACATTTTGCATGGGTGGCTACTGGAAAGTAGGAGTTATCCTTGCATATTCAAGGCTAGAAGGACTGAATAATAAATTCAGTGTTCACATACAGATGTGGGAGGAGAGGAAAAGGGAGGCTATAAGTCCATAAAGTTCTCCTCCCTTTCAAACACTGCAAAAACTGTTCATGTTTAAAGACACCCTTGAAACTCCTTGGAGAATGACTTGGAGACTTTTTGTTCAGATTTTTGAGGGGGAGCGATTCAAGTATGCTGCAAGATTGCAACTTTCAAATACATGGAGATAATTTAAATTCTAAAGTGTTTTTTTCTTTCACGAAAGATTTCTCCTTTTTCTTTTTCAACAGTTGATCAACACCCCCGTATTGGTAAAGTACTCGATTCTACCCAAGCATTAAAAAAAAAAAAAAAGCAAAAGCTTTAAAGAATTTGCAAATAAAGCACATAGACTATGTACAGTAATCTCTAATTCCCTCTCAATCGGGAAGAGAAAGAAATGAAGGAACAAGAAGCAAAGCAAAGCAAAACAAAAAAGCACTTGGGGCGGGAGAGCGGCGAAATGAGAAAGTAGAAAGGGGCGAGGGGAGGAGCAGAGCAAAAAGTCCAGCTGATGCTGACACTTAATTGGGAGCAGAGGGAGGAAAATACCCCGAAGATACAGGCTAGTTAGGAAAGAATTGGGTGGGACAGGGCAGCAACAGAGGAAGTCCACGCAAAAGGCCTACCCAAATGGGGCACTATGTAAAGTGGACACCAAAAGGAACCAAGACTCATTAGGAAGAAATATCAAGGCCCCGAAGCATAAGAGACAGGATGTGGAGATTGGCTGTTTCTACACTGCCAACTCGGACACCGCACCAGACGTCTCGGGAGGCGATCCTGCTACAAGGAGTGAGGGGTTAACTGCGGGGGTTCGCAGACGTGGAAGGGGGTGCGGCCCTAGGGGTTGCGGCAGAAGAGCAGAGAGCAGGCCCGCGGCCCGTACCTTGTAGTAAACATCGAACTGGATATTCTCGGGCAAGGAGCGGATGTCTCGGCGGGAGCGGATGTAGTTGTCCACGACAGCGGAGATGGCGGTGTTATAGAGAGTCTCTGGGATCCACTCTAGTTCCACGGCCGCCATCTTCCTTCCCTCCTCCTCCGCCTCCTCCGCCTCCTCCTCCCGAAGGCCCCCGCCTCCCTCCGTAGCGAACTCCTCTGCGGCCCCGGAGGATTCGGAGGGGCGGCGGCAGCCACGCGGGCACACGACCGAAGGGCACAGCGCCCTGGCTCCTCCGGGGACGGGCTGGGGAACAACGGCAGCAGGCGCAGGCCCGGGCAGAGAGCGGGCCAGGGAGCAGCAGACAACCGAGCCAAGGCTTCACATTCCGGGTTTGAGAGGAGCCGGGGTTCGTCCCAGCGCCGATCTCTGCAGGGGCGGGACTGCGTGTGCGGCGTCGTGACGTCAGCGCACGCCGGCGCGCCGGAGGGAAGGAATGCGGCAGGCGGAAAACTTGGGAAGCTCGAGCGTGGTCCCTCCCCCAGAGAACGTCCTTTCCGAGGGCTCCGGGAGTTGGGTGGATTGGGTTAGCTTTTTCACTCAGGGACGAATAATTATAGGGGGTTTTATGTTGTTGTTTTTAACCCTTTCTCCTGCCCCCTTCCAAGTCGCTCCGGCGCATCGGTTTCTTCAGCAAGTCCTGCGTAGGGAATTCTTAGGCACGGACTCTTTCGAGACTCAGGTAAAAGTTTGGATTCTCTTCCCACAAAAGTGCACAATAATCTGTACATTGGAACTGATGTGTTCAGGGAATTAGTGTTACTGCAGAAAACCTTCCCTAGGTCCGGATCTCTAACCCATGTAAATACCCCGCACGCGGTCCTGGAACTAGGGGTCATGGTGGAAGGGTGGAAGGGAGACTTGGTTTTGCACCATTTGAACTCTACCATGTTTCTTTATCCAGATAGAATGTGCTAAACAAGCCAAAATAAATAAATAGGTAAATAAAAAGGAAAAAGAACTTATGCTCGAGAAGATTTTGATAGGAAGTTTTAGCCTGTTGATGCATTTACAGCTAGTGGTAAGAGAAAAAATCTCAATGGTGGTTATGATAGGACTTCATGAAAAGAAATGAAGATTTTAGTTTTCTCCCACAGTTACAGTCCTGACTTCGACTGACAGTTGTATAATTGGGAGTACTTATTTCGGCTTCTTTCCTTCCTTGTCCTGAGCATATGCTATTTAATTTTCTGACGCTGTGGCTTGAAGAACTTAATGCAACATCATTCTGTTCTAGGAACTTACCTAGGAAATTACTGGCCTTAATTGGTGGTGACACTGCCAATCTCATAATCTCTCAATAATAATGTAATTTCTGAAAAAAAAAACAAACCCCAATAATAATGTCCTCATATTCAGAGCTAAAGAACTTGGAAGGGGTTCTTTCAGTTTACCCTTGACGATGGTATTTCAATGACAAATCGTTAAGTATTGATAATTTGATGAAAATAAAAGCACATGCATGGTCTTCTTCAGTCTGTCATAATTCTTATTTTATAATCTATGAACCTGGGAATCTGTGTTTGGCCTCAAAATAGGTTTGCCAGATTTAGCAAGTAAAAGAAGTACAAAAGCGGGACCAGCAGATGGCCTAACAGTTATGTTGCTGAACTCACATGTAGTCAACCATGGTTCGAGTCCCAGACTGGGTGGGTTAAAAGTCATCCTGGGTGCGTGTGCCTGTGTGCCCAAAATCTTGAGAAAAAACTGAAGGTGAAAGAATTGCAGAGTGGCCATTTCCCCTTGGGGGGGGGGAGTGATGTCTCACTTTTGATCTCTGTCTCTTTCTCTCCGTCTCTCCAGTGTGTGCCTTATAGCAAAAACCTCTCTTTAAAAAAAAGTAGGGGTCGGCAGGTGGCGTGGTGGTTAAGGGCATTGGAATCCTACACTGCCAACCTTCATGTGAGTCCTAGACCTGGCGTCTTGCTTTCTCACTTTCCCTCTTTCTCTTGCTCTGTCCCTCTCTGGTCAAATTAAAATAAATACAAAAAAATACAAAAGCCCAATTACATTTTCATTTCATATAAACAGTGTGTTTTTAAAATTATTATTTAATTTTTCGTTTATTTATTTATTTTTAATTTGACCAGAGAGGGATAGAATGAGACAAGAGGGAAAGTAAGAAAGCAAGCCTCTAAGTCTGGGACTTGAACCATAGTCAGCCATGTGGGAGTCCAGCACCATGCCTCCTGTCGGCCCCAACAAATGGTTTTTAAATATGAATATGTTCCATGCAGTAATTGTACCCACTGTTCCTTAGTCACTCACATGCATCAGTTCCTTCAGCAAATCCTGTATCAGAAGTTCTTAAACAGCCTTTTGAAGCTAAGGTAAACTTGTGGATTCCCACTCTACAGAAATGCACAATTATCTATTATACATGCAGATATTGCATGGGACTATACTAAATTATTCATTGTTTAGCTGAAATTCAAGTTCAATTGGGCATCTATTGGGTCATCAGAAAAGTCATGATGCATTTTTGCATAGGAAAGCATAGAAAAATATATCGTGATTTTTCCAATGACTCAATATATTTTACTAAGTAATCTTACCTTGGAAGATCCATGAATCTTCTAAAATTGGACGCAGGTGTTCTAGGACACCTTGGCTAAATGTGGATCTGAATATAAATCATTTAAACAGGTAAATTTTTGTCAGACACATATACTGATCGTTATAAGGGTCTTAGATGCTGATAGGGAGAGTTAGACATTTAAAAATGTATATAGGGCCTGTCATGTGGCCTTGTGGTTAAGGAAGATGTATTCTACATGGCTGACAATAGTTCAAGTCCCAGCCTTGGGAGCTTGAAAAACATGCCATGCACATATGTGCCCCAAATCCCAAGAGGATAGAGAAATGGAGGACAAGGGACTGAAGTATAACTGTGACCATGCCTCATTGAGGGATACTTTCTCTCTTTCTCTCTCTCTCTCTTGCTCTCTCTGACTTTCTGTGATGAGAACACTTGCCCTCTGGCTTATAAACAATAAATAAATAAAATTTTAAAGTGGATATAGACATAGAGGGGACTCTGATGATGAAAGAGCTTCTTGCTCTCTTTTTCACTGCTTTGAGATGAAAGGTTATTAAAATGTGCATGGTAGGGGCCAGTAAGTAGTGTGGTGGTTAAGGGCACTGGACTCCCTCATGGGTGAGGGTGGTTCAAGTCCTAGACCTGGTGGTTTGCTTTCTTACTTTCTCTCTCTCTCTCTGTCCCTCTCTGGTCTAATTGAAATAAACAAATAAATAAAGTTAAATAAAATAATTCTTTGGCAATCCATTTTCCAGGACCCCTCCCTTCTTGGGTGCTCTGTTTTTCCTTCCTTCTACTTTTATAAACTCCCTGCTTTGTTATTCCCCCTCTTTGCTAATAAAATCCCTGCTTTGCTATACCTATTCTCTGGGTCTGCAATTCTAATTCTTTCTGAGCATGGGACAAGAACCTGCATCTCACTGCAAGTGTGGGCCAGATCACCCCTCTACCTTGCGTGTCACCTCTCTAGGTCAAGTCTCCTGCGTGGCCATGGGACTTGTAGGGCTTTAAGAGTGGAAGGGGACAGGGAGCAGCATGGCTTCCAGCTCCTGTCTGATGGCAATCAATCTAGAGGGCCCTGGGTTGCCAAGAAAAGCCCCCAGCTTAGGAGAAGGTCACTGAAGCACAGCGGGCCGTCAGCTATGCCTGTGAGCAGGAGTTTAAGATCCTGCAGACCTTAGCTCAGGGATCAGTTTGTAACATGGAGGACAAAAGAAAGACCAAGGTCCTGTGTTCTTCAGTAATTGCAGTTAGACATAAAATTCATGGACTATGGGGCCAGCAAGTGGTGTGGTGGGTAAGGCACTGGACTCCCACATGCTCGACCACAGTCCAAGTCCCAGACCTGCAAGCCTGAAAAACATGCCGGGCACGTGTGTGTGTGTGTGTGTGTGTGTGTGTGCGCGCGCGTGCGTGTGCGCGCGCGCTCCTAATGCCAGGAGAATGGAGGAGAAGGGATTGTGGTGTGGCAATTCCTTGTGGGAGAGGTGATTTCTCACTTTCCTTCTCACTATCTTTCACTAGTGAGCACACATGGCCTATGGCAAAAAACTAAAAAATAAAATAAAGTAAAAATTTTAAAAAGTGCACGTTGAACTAGGTGGCCATGATCAAGAGTACAATGCTCAACAGGCTGAGGGTTCTAGGAAACAATTTACTCTGAAGGTTAGAGGAGTTAGGAGCATTGGACAATGTCTGTATCAAGGGCCAAGGGCCAAGGGTCAAGGGTAAACACTGACTCCAGAATAAGAATCCATCTGTAGGATGGGGCAGTCAAATATGGCTGAATAAAACAAACAAACAAAAAACAGTGTTGGGGGGGCAGCAGGTGGCATGGTGGTTAAGGCGCTGGACACTTCCAAGTGCTCGACCATGGTTCAAGTCCTAGACCTAGTGGCTTTGTTTCTCAGTTCCCCTCTCTCTCTGTGTGTCTCTCTCTGGTCAAATTAAAATAAATGAATGAATAAGTAAATCTTTAAAAGAAAAAGTGGAAATAGGTCACTTTTATTGTGGACTGTCCTCAATTGAGAGGAATAAAGGTCCTTGCCTGCAAGCCAAGAAATTAATGAGGCCTGCCAGAGCTAGGATTTGAACTCAATAATTATAATAAGTTGCTTTTTGTATTTTGGACTATAGCCTCAAATTTTACATTTCTGTTGGTCAGAGTCAGATCATGAAGGGGCATACATGTGATGCTAATGGCCTTGGACTTTATCTTGGAGACCATAGGGAATCCTTAAAGTATTGGCAGCAGAGAAGTAAAGTGAAGTAAAAAAGATGGCAATAATCTGACCAGGAGAGCGAGCAGAAGATCTAGAACTTTGCATTCTCAGCTCCAGGAGGGTAGAATACTGAAGAGGCCTGCTAAACTGTTGTAGCCATCTATACATTTTGGTTGACAGTGGACATTTATGTCACAGAGTTAACCCTGCAGTGCACCAGATCTTCATTAAGCTTTAACTTCCAGCCTCAGATTTGGTCTGAGACCTTGCACCATCAGAGATAACCGAGACGTTAGCCTTTTCCAAAAAGATTCTAGACAATTCTAAGAGGCTATGATATTCGTTTTGACCACTTTATTTATGTGTTTGTAATAGCCAGAGGGCACATGCCCTTGCCAGGGAGAGACAGAAGAGCAAAAGGGGAAGTAAAGAGAAGGCAACCCCCAAAGGGGCATAGTCACTCTGTGATCCTCACTCCTCCATTTCTCCATCCCGTTGGGATTTGGAGCATGCACACACACATGCCCAGTGTGTTTTCAGTCCATTAGTGCTGGGATCTGAACCAGTGGGATCTGACATTCTTAACCACTAGGCTAGA